CCACAAGTAGGATTTCAGAGAGGCCCCACGTTTTTATTTTAGTCTAATATGCCTAAAAGCTATTCTGCCTAGTACTAAAATATTTCTGAACTAGAAGTCCAAAATACCTAATTGTTATTATTATTTTCTAGTTTTTAGTGCACATAAGATAAAACCGTTTAACTTAAAAGTTTTTTTACCGATTTTTTCTAGTTTTTAGTATTTAACGGAAATGCCTACCGAATATTCCTCATTCTATTTAATTCATTTAGTGCATCATTATTACATGTTTTTTTACCTGATAATTTATTACAATCTAATTCCTCAATACATAGCCCTTCCAGAGACTTGACTCGACTTAGAGCCACGTATGCTTGCCCTTCCTCAAACCATTTTGAGCCCAAATACACTACTGCATGGTCGACTGTGCTGCCCTGCATTTTATGGACGGTGGATGCCCATGACAAAATTAAGGGTAACATCCTGCTTTCAGCCGTACCATAACTGAATTTTGCTGGAAACTGTATGGCTTTCGGGTGTATAACGTGTATGCCGTCTCTGCCAAAGTCAATCCAAACTGATGGTACATGTTTCGTACATTTGGGTTCGACGGAACTGAGGCTAAACAATTTCTGTAATGTGGCCTATAGCACCGTTTACCAATCCTTTTGTAACGTCAATGTTGGACCGCAACATTTTCACAAATTCATCACCTATTTTTTTTTATCTGTCCTTCTAACGTCACACAATCTTGGACACAACTGTTCTGGACACGACTACTCATGCCCTCACCTAATACGCCATTTTGTAAGGACGTCCATCTTGGATTTTAAATTTTGTCATAATCACAGTATTCTACTAGTGTAGCCCTTTCATTTGATACCCATATTGAGGGGTTGTGGAAAAATATGAAATCCGCCATTTTGTACCGGCGGCCATCTTAGATTTACAATGTTATTGATATTACTATATTGTATTGTCATCGGAACTAAAGGTGTGTACCAAATTTCAGATCAATCTGACAACAGGAAGGTACTTAAATTTCAATTTCTAATTTTGACCCAAACAAATAAATAAATACCGTACGGGTCGAGCTAAATAAAACCGTTTAAAAATACTTTACTTTTATACCTAGGCGTTAAAATGACTTTTTTATATTGTGCAAGGGGTATTGAAGCGGGGTGCAAGGGGTATTGAAGCGATACATATAGCCTAGCTTACCCAAAAGTCAACCTCACCTTCACGTGGTGCACCCTGTTTACACAAACGAGGCTCTGACGTCCGAGTATAGGCGGTATAACCTTATACAACCCTCAGACCTACCATCTTCTGGGGAAAAGGAGTAATAAAATACACCTAGCCGGCCGAGAACGTAGCACAAGGGAACTATCGTCGCAGTCCTCACTGTGCCATAGCCATCCCGTGCTACAGTTGCAGCCAAAACTGTGCGGCAGCGTAACCGCCACAGTTAAACCTTTTCACGCAGCTTACACACAGCAATGATGGAACATTCGAGTGGGACAAAATTATCGTCCGGAGGTAAAATACCCCTCAATCGGATCTCCGGGAGGGGGTGCCTACTCGAGCGTATCATCGGAGAAACAAAAACATCAATGTTTCACGTTCGCGGCGTGGAACGTCCGCACTCTACTGGACAAGATAAATTCAAATCGACCAGAGAGAAGAACAGCACTGGTCTCACAGGAACTCCACCGATTAAATATAGATGTTGCCGCTCTAAGCGAAACACGCTTTGCAGATGAAGGTAGTCTCACTGAGGAGCATTACACCTTCTTTTGGAAAGGTCACCCCGCAACACACAGGAGAATTCATGGTGTAGGCATTGCGATCAAAAACGAAATCGCCACCAAGTTAACAGAAGTACCTATTGGTGTCTCCGAACGTCTTATGACCCTAAGGTACCCCATATCAGACAAAACTTACGTCAACAACATTAGTGCCTACGCTCCCACCCTTGACGCTAAAATTGAAGATAAGGATAAATTTTACCAAGCATTACAAAATGCCTTTCAACGAATTCCAAAGCACGAACGAATCATCTTGCTAGGTGACTTTAATGCCCGTGTAGGCAAACAACAGGAAATATGGCCTGACGTATTGGGAAAACAATGGAAAACGCAAATAGCAATGGTGAACGCTTATTAACAACATGCGCAGAGTATAATCTTTGCATCACCAATACGTGGTTCATGTTGATGAACAAGTTTAAAGATACCTGGAAACATCCTAGATCAGGCCACTGGCATCAATTGGACCACATAATCGTTCGAAGGATGCATCTAAAAGATGTTAGGCTCACAAAAGCTAGAATAGATGCCGAATGCGGCACTGACCACCGACTTTTAATTTCAAAAATGAAAATCCAGTTAAAACCCAAACATCCACGCTGTAAAAAGCAAAACAACATGACCAGATTGAACGTACGGGATCTAGAGAACAAGAATACCGCCGACGCCCTCCGGGAAGCCATCAAAGAATCACTTCCACCGATAACTTCAATCTCAATATTGGAAGCTGAACAAGACTGGACACAATTAAGGGATGCGATTCATAAAACCAGCGAAGCAGTACTGGGAAAGTCGAACAAAAAGAAACAACCAGACTGGTTTGACGAAAATCAACAGCATATACAGGCTTTTTTGGAACAAAAGCATAGAGCACATCAAGCCGTCACTGCAAATCCACTTAATCCAAGACTGGTAGATAACTTTAAAGCAGCCAACAACACCCTTCGAAGAGAACTGCGCCAAGTAAAGGATAACTGGTGGTCACAAAAAGCGAATCAGATTCAAGAGTACGCCACTCATCACGATTATCGTAAATTCTTCGAGGCTGTAAAAGAAGTATACGGTCCAACTAAGAAGGTAAGCTGCCCAATCATGGCTCAAAATGGCGAACTTCTAAAAGAGGAAGAACAAATCAGAAATCACTGGAAAGAACATTACAGCCATATCCTTAACCAAGAAAACAACCCCAATATGGAAGCACTAAACACAATACCTCAGTATAACAGCCTCGATGTATTAGACATCCCAATAACAGAACAAGAAATAAAGACCTCCATAAAACAGCAACAAATCAGCTGGCTGTGACGCGATTCCGGCGGAAATCTATAAGTGTGCAAGTAAAGAAATTATGGATCATCTTAAGGCTCTCTTTGATGTCGTATGGGAAAGCGGAGAGGTACCTCACGATTTTCGCAACGCGAATATAGTGAATATATTTAAGAACAAAGGAAGTGCATCAGACTGCGGAAATTACCGGGGAATTTCGCTATTGGCTATCGGCGGAAAAATTCTTGCAAAAATAATGTCAAACCGCCTGCACCCATATATAGAAAAAATCCTTCCAGAATCGCAAAGGGGTTTTCGTACCAACCGCGGCACCGTCGATTCCATATTTTCCATCCGTCAACTACAGGAAAAAGTAAAAGAGCAGGAGTCTAAACTTTATGTTGCATTCATCGATCTAACAAAAGCCTTCGACTCTGTGAACAGAGATGCGCTTTGGGCAATTATGGAAAAGTTCGGAGTACCCAACAAATTTCTTACAGTGTGTAAAAGCCTCCAAAACAACAAGTCAAGAGTGTCACATCATGGATCACTGAGAGACCCATTCCTAACAAATACAGGAGTTAGGCAGGGATGTGTCTTAGCGCCTCTCCTATTCAACATATTCATGGCAGCGCTCTCCATTATAGTGGACAGCAAACTGCAGGAGAGAGGATTGGGCATTAGATACTGATATGACGGCGGTCTGTTCAACATAAAAAGACTCAGGGCAAAAACACGTACAAAATTTATCACAGAACTTCAATACGCTGACGACTGCACTCTAGTTGCAAACACGGTACAACAATTACAAGAAATGTTGAACACATATACCTGGGCATACGAGGCTTTGAGCCTTAAGCTAAACATCGACAAAACTAAAATCATGTGCACTCACCCGGAAGATCACAACAATGCTATAAAAATCGGAGAAGAACTATTGGAATATGTGGCGGAATTCAATTACCTTGGCAGTTTGATTTCGGAAAAGGCCAATATTGACTCTGAAATTCAGCACAGGATTAGTAGCGCCTCAAGGGCATTCTGGAAATTAAAAGACAGGGTTTTCTACAATCATACTTGAGTACAAAAACAAAACTTGCAGTATACCGAGCAATTATAATCCCCACCATGATATATGGGAGCGAAACCTGGGTGCCTTACCGCCGACACATGAACGCATTGAACAAGTTGCAACAGAGACACCTTAGACAACTCTTAAGAGTCCGGTGGTTCCATCATGTCTCAAACGTATCGGTCCTTGAAAAATCTAACTGCGAGAGTATTGAAGTCATGGTCACAAAATCCCGCTTAAGATGGGCTGGTCACGTATGCAGAATGCAAGAAAACCGCATACCAAAATCTCTGCTTTACGGTGAGCTTGTGGACGGTAAGAGGAGGCCGGGTGGACAACTGAAAAGATACAAGGACATTTTCCACGAAAATTTAAAGGGAATTAACATGCAGAATGAGTGGGAAAAAGCAGCTCACAATAGAACTCAATGGAGAAGGGTTGTAAACTCAGTTAACAGCGCAACCAAAAAGTAGAGAGGCAACAAAGCAATGAGATTTTTGAATGTCCGGAGTGCGGTAGGCAGATAACATCACGTATCGGGCTTTTCAGTCACAGAAAAGCTCATGAAAGAAAACGCCTTGCGTGACCATTTTCTTTATGTGTGTCGAATACTCGTCAGCGAGTAACGGCTGTATATGTATGTTTTTATATTGTCAAAATCCCAAAAATTAATACTTTTGTGACGTAACGTTTCGTGACGTACCTACCTAACCAAACCAAAAAACAAAATTTTCATAGATCACTTTGTTTCCGAGCTTCTTTTTGACAAATTTGGGCATCTACCATCATCCTATCTTTTAACTACTAACTAATAACGGAGATACCGTATGATTTCAACTAAAATGGGACACCCTGTATATGTATCTATTACTAACCTATGCAATTTCTTGGACCATACGAAAAAGGAATGTAAGTGCACGGATGACGTTTAGCAACTTCTTCTGGCAGAAATCTATCAGGATCGAATTTTAGCGGATTCGGCCAATATTTCGGGTTTCGGTGAATGTAGACCAGTCCAAAATAAACATGACTTGATTTAGGAATAACGAAATCACCTAAAATCGCAGCAATAGTGTGACACACCAGATACGATAGAATAAAAATTCAACGGAAAATAGTGGGAAAAATAGCATATTCAAATCCAGAAAGATATTTAGCCCGGTCAAATTAGAGAATTTTTTAACTAATTTGACTGGAGTAATTGAATTCTAATCTGATTTGATAATTTGATAGTTTCAAAAATATTAATAAATAATAAAAATATTTCTTTGAGACTTTTTAAAAAAAAATATTAAAAATACAAGAAATGTCCTGAAATCAAAATTATGCTAGGTATTTACTATAGTTGATATATGCATACAGGGTGTTCAAAATTCTATGCCAAACTTTCTAAAATATAAAATAGTGTTTCTTCGTTTTATTTTGCTCTTACCGAAATCTGTATCCTGACTGACGTATCTCAGAAAGAAGGCACCGACTGGGAACAATCTCAGTGTCTCCTTAATCACTCGTTCAGTATAATGTAACTGATGCAAATGTTCAAATCCGGGGGTCTTGTCAGGCCCTATAATGCTCAGAACTTCTTCGAGTACTTTATCCTGATGAAAATAAAAACTCTGTAAAAATGGATGGAGTTCTAGAGCCTAGAACCTTTACCTGTACATCCGTAAACATTCCTAATACTGCAAATACAAAAGATAGAGCGGATGCTGTCGTATCAGTGCCCTTAAAAGTGTAGGAAAATCAAGTTATTTGAGATATAAAGCTCAAAAGAATATGTTTTGGTATTTATCATAAATGTATGCTTATGTAAATGTATAGGCTTGGTGCATTTCAGTTGATTTCAACAAATTCATACCGCAGCCCAAGCAGCATTTGGATGTCGGGACAACGTTGTGTCACGCGACCAAACGTCGGGGCGCAACGTCGGCACAACCTCGTGCTAACCCTAGTTGCACTAGTGTCTGCACTAGTTTGGAGAATAATTTTTGGGTCGAAAGGACGTTGGATACCGACGTTGGCTAGCAGCCTAATTTAGTACAAACTGCAACGTTGTTTAAAATCCTAATTCACAGAAAAACAAAACTATAATAATATGGCGTCTAAGTCGCGTTTTATCCTAAATTGGGATAATTATAGTAAAAATATTATTTTTATGATTTAGTTAGAGACATATGCCAGATGGCAGTAAAGGAAAATAAAACAAAAGTATTTAAGTGTGGAGGATGTTTGAAGATCATAATTATTGAAACGCTTTAACCGACTCTCTGTAACTCGTTACCCAAGGCAAAAATGTTAAACGCAAACAACTTTATTGATAAATGTATTGTTTCTACTTTGAAAAATACTAATGGGCCTTAAAATTAAAGAAGTTTTAAAAAAGTTCTTGAATTTCTTTTTTTTAGTAAAATGAGAATAATTTATTCGCAGTCGAAAAAATTGTTTCCGCGTGTTTTTTAGGGTCAAATATTTCAAGTTAATGTATTCAAAAAGCAGGAATTGCTATTTTAGGAACGAAACGTTTTCTTATTTAACAACATGGCGGCTTTCACTTTGTTGTTTTGGAGATTAAGATGGAGTAGTTCGAGTAGTCGCATACTGGACTAATAAAGTCGCAGTTCAGCCTTAACAGGTAGTATACTAGTCGCAAGATTGCCTAATTTAGTCATCCTAGAGTCTAGCTTGTGCCGCCCTCTATATTCTAAATAAACGAAGGAGTGGATAAAGTATCGGTAATATGTCGATGTATATTTAAATTTAGTTTTATATGTACCTTTCTTATGTCCCATTTTAATTAAGTTTTTTTTATAAAAACAAAAACAGCACTGAATTGTCTGACTGAGCAGAACAATGAAGTGAAAATTTAAGATTTAAGGTATGGTTCAATACAGTTGGAAAAAGTTAGTGGCTCGACGTCCTACCAACGTAAGAATAAGGAAATCTAAACAACGTTGGAATTAGTAAAACAGACGACGTTTGCATAACGTTGGAATCGGTCCTGAAAGTGACGTCGGAAAACACTTTATTGCCCAACATTGTAACTACGTTGTCCGAATCACCTAAAGATCACTTAAGCAATAAAGGTTACAAGACAACGTTTATTCGACGTCGCAGAAGCTTTTACTTTGTTGCAGTACTAGTTCAACGTCGGCACAACGTTACAACAACGTTTGCATTTATTTTAATGCCCAAGGTACGGAGCTAACTATTTTTTGTAACTAATCCAACGTTGTGTTTAGTAAACATATGGTCGCAAGTCGTGAAAATACTACTAGGGAGCACTTCAACGGCAAAGCTCAGAAATTATCATTTCACGCCGCCGTCATGTCGATCGCATTAAAATAATATTGAAATCGTGGTTCTGTCATAATATTTATAGTTTTTTGGTAGTGCAGTTATTAAGTAAAAAAGAATTCGAACTATGTTCTGTTGTGTTCGATTCGTCCTGTTCTGTTGTGACAATTTCAAATGTTAATAAAATTACCGAAAAAATGTTAACGCGTAAAGGAGAGCGTAATTAGGGCGTTGTTGGGTGTAATAACATTCAATAACGTGAATTTTCCCGGACATTCAACTCTCCCCAAAACAACATTTTAGCTTCATAGTTTCTTAGGGTAAAAACATAGTGGAGCGACGAGGCTAGAGGGTACAGCGACGAGGTAAGAGGCTAGAGGCACAGCGACGAGGTAAGAGACAAGATAAGCGACGCGACAGGAGACAGGTACATAGTAAGGAGACAAAAGTTGCGATTTATTGCCCGACTTTCCAAATTCAAACCAGTATGTACAATGTTCTCCGACAGTGAAAATGAGATTTTATTCGATAATAGCCACTTCTGCCCAAAGTTCGTCTAATACATAGCGGTTTCTGTGGTCTGGATGAGATGCATTCCATAACGCACGCCGCCTGTTGAATACGGATGTTATTATACGGGTGGGCCACTGAAAACTTACAATGGATATAATTCTTAAACCAAAAAAGATATCAAAAAAATAAAAAATACCGTTTCTATAATATCGAGGGGGAATACATATGACGTATTTTTTGAACCACCCCGACCTACCCCTTAGGCGGCACCCCTACTCACTTGAAAATCTTAAATGGGAATACCCCACTTGTGGCGCCTTTTTGGAAAGCCCATGAAAAATGCTAAACGATGATTATAAAGTTTTTAGGGTGAAATTGAAAAACTACCCCTTACACGAAAAATTAGGTGGACATTAATGAAAAAAGTGATTTTTTCAGCATAAATTACAAATTGGGACCCCGCTTAATGAGGCAAATGAGGTATTTTTCAAACCACACCGGCCACCCCTAGGTGCCACCCACTCACTTCTAATCTCAAGATAGCGATACCCCACTTGTGACACTTCTTTGGAAAGTTAATTGAAATTGCTGAACGATGGTCATACAGATTTCAACTGTCTTATTTCAACAATTACTGGTAAGTAGTGATAAGAAATGTAGGTTTGACAATTTGAAAGAAATTTAAAATGATAATTTATTTTAACAAGTGCTCAAAATGACAGCCGTTTTCTTCCATACAAAAATACAAACGATTTTCAAATTCTTCTCTCACTTTTTGGAAAGTCTCTCTCGGAATATTTCGACATGCTTCAGTTATCCTCTGCCGCAATTCTTGCAACGAACCTGGTTTTGTCTTGTAGACTATGGATTTAGTGTAACCCCACAAGAAAAAGTCTAAAGGAGTGAGATCAGGTGACCTTGGCGGCCACTCGATTGGACCCCTTCTGCCAATCCATTGCCTTGGATAATATCTATCCAACCACCGCCTTGTGACAATAGAATAAAGCGGAGGGGCTCCATCTTGCTGAAAGTGTATGAGGTCTTCATTAAGAGTTAAATTTCCTTCCAAATCTCTTTGCTTTTCAATCTCATTTACAATGGCTGGCTCTATCAAATTGTTCAGCATTTCCACATAAGCATCACCAGTCAAATTTCCGTCGATGAAAAATGGACCTATAATTTTATCTCCTAGTATTCCGCACCAAACATTGAGCTTTTGGGGATGTTGGGGGTGTCCTTCAACAACAATATGCGGATTCTCATCGCTCCAGTATCTGCAGTTCTTCTTATTCACAATTCCGTTTAAAAAAAATGAGCACTCATCACTAAAACAAATATTTTGAGTAAGTGAAGGTTCCCTTCGAATTTCCTCCGTCATTAGTTCACAGAACTGAATCCTTCTATCTGGATCGTCGTCGCCAAGTTCCTGCAGAACCTTCATTTTGTAGGGATGGAATTTGTGCATTTTCAATACTCTCCTGACAGATGTTCGAGGTATACCTGTGATTGAGGCCAACTGGCGTGTTGATGCTTCTGGATTGACCGATACCTGACCAATAACTTCCATCTGTATTTCTTCATTCAGTACCCTGGGCCCTGTCCTTGTTTTACTTTTGACCGACCCAGTTTCTTGAAACTTTAAAATCAAATTTCTAACATAAACGTGACTTACGTTTTTGTCCGGATTTCTCTCATTGAAAGCACGGGCCGTTCTCAAATAACACATAGGTACCTTCAGCACCATAAAGAAAAACTATTTGAATTCTTTCTTCCACAGTACCTATAAACCATTTTTCTTTCAAATCAGCGAATCAAATAAACGTTTAAAATACCACCAAATTTGCAAACGATTAAAAATCGATAGAAGACAGTGCAAAAACGCAAAGATATGCCGGTTTAAGATTCCTGTTTGTTGAAAGTAAAAAAATAGATGATAAGGAAGAATTTGCGTTATCGCAAAATTAGGCTGCAAAAACATCTTTGTGTTGCCTTTTTTATTATCTACATTTAAAAATGGCATTGATGAGATTAGAAGTGAGGGGATGGCACCTAGGGGTGGGTCGGGGTGGTTTAAAAAATTCCTCATTTGCCTCATTTAGCTGGATCCCAAATTGTAACTTATGCTGAAAAAATTACTTTTTTCATTAATGTCCACCTAATTTTTCGTGTAAGGGGTAATTTTTCAATTTTACACTAAAAACGTTATGATCGTCGTTTAGCATTTTTCATGGGCTTTCCAAAAAGGCCATTTAATTTACTTTTAATTACTTTCCAAAAAGGGTATTGCCATTTAAGATTTTCAAGTGAGTAGGGGTGCCGCCTAAGGGGTAGGTCGGGGTGGTTCAAAAAATACGTCATATGTATTCCCCTTCGATATCATAGAAACGGTATTTTTTATTTTTTTGATATCTTTTTTGGTTTAAAAATTATAGCCATTGTAAGTTTTCAGTGGCCCACCCTGTATTATTCTCAGCCATTGCGAATGATAAATGTTGTCTCTATACCAGCAGTACTCCTACTTAATGATACCAGCACAGAATGATACCAGTCAACTGAAATAAGGCCACACGCATTCCAGCGTCAACGCGACAAGAAATCATATTTTTATCAAGACGCGCGTCTCCTTACGCCAATTTGATCAAAAGCAAAAATGGATTCAAGCAGTTTGACGAAACAAAAGAGTAGGTAAACAAAGTGCTCCTTACATAATCAAAAAATTAAATAATCGTATATTATGAGAGGATAAAATATAATTTGCAATATTAATGGTATACTTTTATTAATCAACTAGTGATTAAATATTTTATGAACAACTTCTAAAGTTATAATTATGTACCTTTAAAAAAATTCGTTATAGCCGAAATAGCCCCAATTATGCTCCACTAGCAAAACCGGTGGTTAAAACTATGCTCGCTACCGTAGTTGAACTCATCTAAAAAGGTTTTTAACTGGAATAATAAATTATAATACAAGTTAGACCTTCTGAAGATATCAAAATATTTACTTTTTTATTTTTACTTTTTGAATTTTTACAAATTATACTTCCTAATACTTTTAGAAGAATTAAATAATAAATTTTTCGTATCCTCGCTATTTAAACCCGTGTATTTGTAAGTACTACTTTTTTTGCGATATTCTCCGATAGTAGCAGCACCGGCGGAGAATGCACCAAGCGTATAGATTTTATTAGGGTTAGGGTGCATTAAATTAGTAGCGGAAAAGTTGACTGAAACTCTAGACTGACATTTGACACACTATTTTTAAATGAACATTTCAAAAGTTGTGGGGGTAAAGTTTCGAGTGAAACAGGAAGTGACCGAAACTAACTGAATACGTCAATCAATCAAATCTCGATTTTTTATCTGAAAAAATAAAAAAGTTATAGGGGTGAGCAACTTTTGAAAAACACCCGATATATTCAATTAATTGTGTTAAATTAATGGACCTGCATTTATTAACAATTTATTATTTCTTACAGCAAATAGAAATATGAAGACTTCGTCCCTTAGCTCTATAGAGGTAAATTCGTTACTTTCAATTATGTAGTCCAAAAAGACCATGCGTTTTTTGGTTTCTGAAAAGATAATTATCATTTGTCGATCAAGTTTATATCGCCAAATTAGAACTTTTTTTACTAAAACTGTTCGAATCATATCTAATCTATACCTTCTTCTATATATGTGCTATTTTTCTTTTGCATTACTATTTCCAATTTTTCCTGTATAACCTGAAAATGAGATATAATAATATTATACAGAGTGTGCCACAAACTTCGCAGTAAATACGTTTTTTATTATTCTTTTATTGACAAAAACAATAATTTTATAATAATTTTAATAGCGTGTATATCCACCTCTCGTAGCAATAACAGCTCGAGTTCTTCGACTTATCGAATAAATAAGGGTAAATAGGGTGGTGACAATTTCGATGCTCAACATTGCCATCTCAGGAACTACGAGAGATACGAATTCGGTTAAATGGGACAAAAGTTGCGTAATTAGAAGTTTGACAAACACATATGAAGAAAACCCCGGTATCCTGATTAGTTTCAGATTTATGTCAAAAAAAATAAAAATAATACATTTATTTTAAATCAGAATATCTTCAGAGCTACAATATTGTATCTACTGCAACGTAAGTTGGTAGTTTTATATTTTTAACCTCGGCCAATTAAATGCCGTTTTCAGAAAATTTCTAAGCCTTCTAGATTTCGCACAACAGTCAAGTTTTTGTTTTCTTATGGCCGCCATTTTGAATTTTTATCCTATTAGATGGAGCAAAAAATAATCTATACGGTGGTATCTAATTTATATTCATTATTATGTAAATTCACTAAAACAATAGACTTTTTAAAAGTTCCTCAAAAGATCAAGTCTGCCTAGGAAAACCAATTGACACTTTATATGACAGCAAGTTAATATTTGTTTACTCTATTAAGTGTCAAATCTGGACACAAAAATTTATAGTAGATAGTGTAAAGTGTATTATTAACAGTAAACAACATGTTCACAAGTGAGGAAACACGAGATATGTATGTATGATGTTTACTTAAAAAATAATAGAAATTCCGATATGGCATGCGCAAGTTATAGAACATTGTATCACAGATTAGGTATCCTATAAGTATACAGATAAAAATCTTGTCCCTAATTCGTGGTACGAAAATTGTTTTTTATGACGATGTGCAAACGAGTCAAATTTCCTGTGCGCAAAAATAAACTCGCGTAAAATAACAATAAACAGCGTAATAGAGAGATATCGCTAAACCGAATAGCGTGCATGGACGTTAATAAGGCCAGGTATTATTTCCTTTACGTGAGGTGGTATTAACTCAAAAACAGTTAACCTAATAGGACTGTTCATTCAGCCAAAAGTGTCCGCCAGGTGCATGCAAAAACTACTCGCTTTGTGACGTCATTGTAGTCCTTGTCATGGTTATTAGTCCTTATCCGGCAACCAATAATACACACACGTGCATTATTGGTTGCCGAATGCAAAACTTTCATTATTTAGTTTATTTATTTAAATACCTTATATGTATGCAGTATAGAAAATTAACTGTATAAATTGTATTAAATACTCGGATAATGCATTTTTAAGAACAGCAGTTCCCAACATCATCTTTTGCAAGCATTCTTTTTAGAGTACTTCCATATTTTGCTTTAAAATAATTAATAAACAATATCTCAGGCACTTAGTAAGCACTTTGTCACAATCCACAATACAAAATGAACGTATTTCTCTAACTCTATAGCTCTAAAAACTTTAAAGACACCTTTTTCACATTTAAAATTGACAAAATAATTAACTCAAAATTTCTCAGCTGTTATTTTTATAAGTTTACCATAGGCAACTAATAATACACACTATCATGACAAGGACTACAATGACGTCACAACTGTCAGCTGAAGCGCGGGAAGAGTGGAAGAGGCGAACGTACATCTTATGAGGATGAGCAATCCTATTAGTTTACCGTTCTTGGTATTAACTCTCTTCATTTATAGTTATCGGATCGGAAAGAATTCTGATCACGTCGCATCCGCTATTTAAACTTAACCTAACTTTGAATTTAAAAGTTTGAAATTGTTTTGTTTACTAAGTATTTTAAAACTAAAGGGCTAAAGTGCTTATTTCCAGTGCTTTATTGTTCAACGTCTGCCAGTGGGTTTAGGGCAACAAGCAACAAATTCTCTTAGAAGGGCTAAGTCGTCATCTGCTGTAAACCTAAGACTCTTTATAGGTTCTTTAGTATTGGAAGAGGTGGAATCCATATTTTGAGCCATATTTATTTAATTAAAACTAATCCCAGCTACTTAAATATCAAATTACCTAATAAAACTAAAGCAATAATTCAAAACAATTCAAACATAACCTAAAATAAAAGATCTCGCCGGCCGGCTTCGGTTGTCAAATACCCGCACATGCCCATTTAAGCAATTTTTAAACGTTATCAGAGGTTATTTAGAAAGAGCGCTTGGTGTAATTGATGCGCAAATTACGTCAGGCGGTAACGTTATTAGCGGGTGTTGCATTAAAAATTGACTCGCGCATATCGTAACCATGATAAGGTACGCGTAAATACTGGATGACGCTATTCGGTTTTCCGATATCTCTCTAATAACTGTGCCGGTCAGGCGCTGTGCACAATTTTAGAGGCCATAAGTGGGCGTAAGAGCCATAAGTGCGCAAACTAGTAACCTAACTAGTGCCCGATTCCGAAAATTGGAACCACGAAAAACAATAAAGAAAAAACAAAGATTATAATGTGTGATTGTATCCTGAAAAGACACAGCCTCATCCTACTATTTTTGCAAGGATTTCAAGAAATTTAGCAGTTGCTGGTAGCTTTAAAAACATGAGGGGCAATATTTTAAAAGGCTTAATGATACTAATGTGCCAGCTCAGACTGAAATTAATCCGGAAACTTCTAACCGTAAAATAAGTTGCGAGTGATTAGATAAGTTGTGTAAGTGATTCTTATGTCAGTCTTATGTAACTGATTCTTATGTATCACAACTTTAAATTTAAATGTGTATCAAATTTACATTTTTTCACATGGTGATCACGAGAGAAGATTACAATTTTGCAAATGGTTTCGGTAAAGTGTTCAAGAGAGCCCCTTTTTTTCTAGAAAAATATTATGGACGGATGAATCTTTATTTACAAATTCTGATACATTTAACAGAAAAAAAATCACATTATTATGCAATAGATAATCCCCATTTAATTATAGAAACCAGACCACAAATAAGATATTCTTTGAACGTGTTCTTGACATTAAAATTTTAGGTTCTGTATTGACCTGTATTGAACTCTACTATACAATTTTTGTGCATCCAGATTTGACACTTAATAGAATAAACAAAAAATAACTTGCTGTCATATAAAGTGTCAATTGCATTTCCAACGCAGACTTGATCTTTTGAGCGATTTTTTAAAAAATCTATTTTTTTAGTGAATTTACCTAATAATGAATAAAAATTAGATACCACCGTATAGATTATTTTTTGCTCTATCTAATAGGATAAAAATTCAAAATGGCGGCCATAAGAAAACAAAAACTTGACTGTTGTTGTGCGAAATCTAGGAGGCTTAGAAATTTTCTGAAAACGGCATATAATTGGCCGAGGTCAAGAATATAAAACTACCAACTTACGTTGCAATAGATACAATAGTTCTGAAGATATTCTCATTTAAAATAAATGTATTTTCATTTTTCTGAAATCTGAAACTAATCAGGATATCGGGGTACTTCTAATTACGCAACTTTTGTCCCATTTAACGGAATTCGTATCTCTCGTGGTTTGTAAGATGCCAATGTTGGACATCGAAATTGTCACCACCCTGTATAGTTATTATTTCTTGATCTATAGCTTGATGAATATGAAGCTATAGATCAAGAAACCTCTTCACGAGAGCTAAGGCTAGCTCAATTAACTGAGGAATCTCCGTTAATCCTAGCCATATCTCTTGTATAGTTTGTAGTGGAATAGGACGACGACGAACAGCTCTTTTAAGTTCTTCGCACAAATGTTCGATTGGATTGAGGTCGGGACTACAAACAAAGTCATTCCAATATTCGTAGTCTAACCAACAAGGTAATGTGGCTAGCATTACGCTTCAACCGCCTATTATTACCTCAGGATTGTGAATCTCAAGTACTCATTTGAGGCTAAGTCGACCTAGGTACCCAAACTATTTTTATTTTATTAAAAATAATCGGCTGATGAAATGCCGGCTGTGGGATTCGAACCTGTACCTCTACGCCACCGGGTACCATATAAAAAATAATGCCAACAAATTTATCTACAAACTAATACCATATAACACAAACTAATTTAGATTGGTCTGTGTTATGAGGTTTGTTCCAACCCGCCCCAGAACCGTCACCGAACGATCACGCTCATGCGCAGTAATTCAAATGTGTTCCAACCGAGATTTGACGGATATCGGACGATCCTATTTGCTTACCAACCTACTTTGGGATCGTTTAGTTACAATTTCAGAACGGTAATTTCGATACATGGTCCACATTGAGAACTGTTTGGGTTGACTTGCGCATTAAAGCATATTAGCAGGGATTATCGATTTTTAACAGCTGATTCTGGTCCGGCGTCCGGCTGATGCTTCTGTCTTGGTTATTTTTTACGAATTCGAATACGTGTGCGTTATAATTTTGCTTGTGAGTTTGTGTGGAGTAAATTGTTCGAAAATTTTAATTAATTCTTTATTTATAAAATAATGTCCAAAGATTCTACCACTGCAATGAAATAACAGGAAACTACGCATAACAGGATCATAAAAGAGAGAATAGGTAAGTGAGTTAGTGAGTATACAGTTGAAACAACACCAAAAATTACTGGATTCTGATTCTCCATTTCAAGAATAATAATTATTATTATTGCAAATTGCAAACAAAAATAATAGGGTTATTTTATGAAATTCTAAACAAAAACAAAAAACCGATCGATACACGCACGCCTGACACTTTTGACAGTCCTGAAAACAATCCACTAAGCGTTCCAACGTTGATACTTTTTGCACCGTCACGAAACTATTCGAAGTCCGCGCATGCTAACAAAGTGCAAGAAAACCGATTCGAGTACGATTTCGAAACGATCCCGAAATGCTGGTTGGAACAAACCTATAGTTGTCTAAAACTTGATTTTACTATGGGTCTAGATTAGGGTTACCAACCGTCAGCGGCGGCTACAGGGGTGGCCGATGGGGCTCCGGCCCCCCCTAAAAACTGTAAATTGAGTTAAATATTAAGCTTTTTGGGTTAAAAATGGTGCCCTAAAAAGCAAATACTATATTAATTTTGATTTGGGCTCCCCCTAAAATAAATTTCTGTATACACCCCTGCCAACCGTCCTCTATTCCAGAGGACAGTCCTCTTTTTGATCTCACTGTCCTCTTTTCTCTCGCGTATTGAAAATTTCCTCTTTTTTACATACCAAACTCAAAATCTAAAAAATATTCGTCTGTCGCCACATTGCTTTAAAAAATTGTTAATATGTCTCTTTCGCTACTCCCACTCATTTGTACAGAAAAGAAATTGAAGAAATATTTATGTACAAGAAATATTTGTGGGCGCGATAAACATGTTTAACTATTTTATGTTTACTTACTGTTAGCTTATGTTTTGAAAAAAAAAGTTTTGTGGAAAATGGTTTTGAGTATAAACATTTTTAAGAAAGTAACAAAGACCATCAATCGCATATTGTTTACATTTTACTGTTTACATAACTTATTATAAATTCTAGACATTTGGGCGAGGTTTCAAAAAAATGTTTCGCCTTTCCGCTTTTTACCCTCTCGTCCTCTATTTTTTATTTTGAAAGTTGGCAACCCTAGTCCCTAGTCTAGGTACCAAGTTTCGTAAGCAGTTTTCCACAAACATTGAAATAAAAACGTTGTTCACTCTGTATACTGAGTCAGAGATAGTCCGCATCATGTGGAACTTTTTATTTATTTATTGACTTAGGTGTAATTTGACTTAGGCTGTATTCCGTTGCAAAACCAGGCGAACCAGACCGGTAAACTACGGTAAAGAGCGGTTCTTGAAAAGCATCGGTTTGATAAAAGGATTGTATATTCTAAAGGACTGTTCGATCGCGTCAAATCGCCGCTATCGTAGTCAGTGTGGATGCTTACATTGCTTACGTCACGCAGGGACCAGCGCTCCACTGTGCGGCGGATGGTTATTCTAGCGGGACAAAATCTCAGGAGCCATGTTTGGGACTTAAAATCTAAGAACGTAGCAAATGGTCTAATATATAGCAACCATATGGTTAAATTTATTTATTTATTAATAACTTAATTTATTAATAAATAAATAAATACAAGAAAATAAAACTATGACATTATTCGTACATGACACAAAAACCGTACTGTAAACTGTTGCCAAATACATAAAATTATGATATCAGGTGAAATACTTACAAAAAACTCTTTAGCAGTTATTTTTTAATTACTTTATAATCTTGTGACACCCTGTATATTTTATTTTATAAAATTCTATTTTATTTTGAAAATAATAAATAAGATATTTTAATTTTAACACTCGGTAATTCTAAATTCATACATAGTAAGTTTCTAAGACAATTTTTTAAACTTTTATTAAAACTAGTAATAATCATTTATTTTTATTATAAATTATCAGAAAGTAAAAAAGGCTTTAGCATATCGTCATGCTTTATTTAACTAGAACATCATTTGGATGTTTTTGTCTTGAGGAAAATTGCCGAACTGACTATTGATGTCATTCATAAGCTGCCTATACACGGAAAGGCGCCGCCTACGGACTTGGGCTTGGGTCCGGGCCTTTAACCCAAAATACCATAGGTTTGCGTTAAAGGCAAAGCCCGCGGATATATTTCAGTTTGGTAATTTGGGTCAAAGCCCCGGCCTCAAGGCCAAGTCCGAAGGCCGGACCTTTCCGTGTATGGGCAGCTATTAATTTTTCAAATCCGTGCCTTTCGATGAAGCTAAGGCTTCAACAATTACAGCAGCATCCTTACTCCTTACTACCACTGGCCTTAAAGCTCATAGTACTTGCAAAACCCAATTCTTCTTTTGAATGCCCTTCAATTAACCCTTTAACGAGTCTTTGTTTCGTTTTTATACCATCCGATTGAAATGAAACTTTTGGGTATTCACCTGTTCAGCTTGAACTCCTTGTGACTGACTACCTGTGTTGATAACTATTAGTAACTCAAAAGATCGATATTGAGTTTAATATTTTCAGAATTAAGGCACAAAGGATTTTAACAAATAATATACCTACAGTAGAAAAGTACATACCTTTGACAATCTTCAACATAATTTGGCTTTGGAATAAAATGTATAAGCACTTTTAAATATTTTGTTTTCGTATGACCTCTGCCTTGCTGAGCAGGAAACGATCAAATTTGGTTGATAAAAATGTATCGAAATACAAAGAATATATACGACCAAAAAATAATTCATGCTTTTTTATATCAATTGGAATGTCTACTATTTATTCTTATCAGTACACATTTTTGGCTTATTTCTAATCAAACGGTTTTGTCCCGCTAGATTTAACTTCCGCCGCACTGTGCGCTCGTCCGTCCAACGCAAAAATAACTGTCACTGTCTAAAGTCTTTAGCGCGAACTTCAACTCGGTCCCTTGAAAACGTAAAAAAACTGACAGTACAGGAAGATAGGAATCGAACTATCTTTATATCTATAGTATCCTTGGGTTTGATACGGAACGGTTTGGTAAAATACTGGAAACGTCAAATGTTGACGTTTTCTAAATTTCATTATCTCTCACAATTATTATAAAATTTATCTTTTATGCATTGTTAATGCCTATTCTCCGCTTTTACGCTTGCTTCTTCTTTTCAATGGAGTTTAATATTCAAAAGTACTTTATTAATAAATTGTTAAACTAGTTAGACACCTCAAGTGAAGATTTGCAGGTCTAATATTAAAACAAATCAATAATAAATAAACAAATCTAATTAATATTTATATTTTTATAGCTTACAAAACATTCATGATTACTTGTTGTCTTGTTTTTATGTTTTCTTTAAATGTTCCTGACTTTAAGAAACAATGGCTGCATGATAAGTTTAAATGGTCTTAAAAAGTCATTCTATTTAGTTAATGAAATTTATTTACCGTTACTGCCTCAAAAAAATGTCCCCTAAAAATGTGTTGAGTATCTCTCAAATTTGACATTTAAAGTAACAAATGGCTAAAAATGGGTTTGCAGACAGAATTTCCTAGAACATTATTTGAAGAACACTTATTCAATTTCTTTTTTAATTGTATTTAAGTGTACCAATTTTCAGCCATCTACAATACCGTCACACGCACCAATGGAAGCTTCGCTGCTTCGCTTCCCAAGGGGTCCGTGCCCCCCTAAAATCTGTAAATTGTGTTAAATATCAGGCGTTTTGGTTAAAAATGGCGACCTAAAAAGCATATTCTACATTACTTTTTATTTTGGGCCCCCCCCCCCCTAAAATAAATTCCTGTATCCGCCCCTGGACTCAATGTTCTATATCGAACTACCGAATGATGGAAAAAACACACGGCATCCAGTTGGCTTGGAAATGACGATCAATGCCCATTCCCCATATAATTTTACGTATAAAATGACAGCGATCTTTATTTCAAAGCCGTCGCTGACGCCATTTTTTCGATCTTATTGTGGTTAACTAACTTACTTTGTCTATTAGATCGCTGAGTGTTTTCAAATAACCCTGAATTTTTTTCTCATAACCAAGTAACCTCCACACAAAAGGTATATGGTTCCATATTTGAAGTAACTTTAGAAATACAAGTTGCATTACTCTAAAAAAAAATAGATATATTATGTGCATAAGGACCTACTGTAAAATATAACCATACTTGTCCATTTTGTACTCGTAATTTGCATTCTCTCTTTGAATATCGTATTTGAGACCCATGGCTGTGTCTAAAAATTAAGATATTATTTTACAGTTCTTATCCAATATAATATTTGAAACTTAAATATAATAACATGTACTACAGGTAAAGAGGCCCCAGTGAAGTTTTTTAGTACTTATTTTCCCAGTCAGCAAACATCGATAGAATTATTCGGTATGTTAGTCTAAGCAAATTTCATATACAGGGTGGTCCGAACTGTATTCCGGAAACTTCGGCAGTATATTCTACAGATCAAAATAAGTAAAAAAGTTCGTATAAATGTATGTCCATTTAAGGACAAGTATGTCCAGTAAGTTTCATTTTTATTTCGATTTTTTCCAAATAATTTCTGAAGTAACGTCAATGTTTGAATGAAAATTGGTATCTGGGAGTTTTGTGACACGAGAAATTTGATTTTGATGTCCAAGTTACTCCTATTTGTAGGGGGCGCCACCTACATGTGTTTTAACTGTTTTGAAGAGTAATAACTTTTCGACCGTCCCTGTATAAAACCACTGACTAAAAAAATATATAGTTCCATGACTTTTTATGTAAAAAATGTCTCTTGGTAAAAATCGCTACGAGCAACCGTTCTCAAGATATTTAAAATGGAAATAGTCAATACATGTCATTATTGACAAAAAATAAGCACACGTTGAGTATAGTTATTTGACTGAAATAATACATTTTTATTTTTTTAAATTAATCATGTTTTTCTGCGAAAAATCATGATTAAATAGTTTCTTTTGAACTTTTGACACAAAAGATTTCAAATTTATGATTTCAGTCTAATAACTATTTTGTCAACACGTTTTATTTATGTCAATGATGCCAGATATTGATAATTTCAATTCCAAATATCTCGAGAACCGTTACTCGTAGCGATTTTTACCAAGAGACCCTTTTTATGTAAAAAGTAAAAATTAAGTCGTAAATGTATATTTTTTTACTCGGTAGTTTTATGCAGGTACCGACGAAAAGTTATTACTCTTCAAAACAGTTGAAACACATGTAGGTGGCGCCACCTACGAATGGGAGTCATATTGATATCAAAATCAAATTTCTCATGTCAAAAAACACCGGTCCACCAATTTTCATCTAAATATTAACGTTACTTCAGAAATTATTTGGAAAAAATCGAAATAAAAATGAAACTTCTACACCCTGTATCTCCGAAACTAAGCCTTTTTGAACATACATTTATACGAACTTTTTTACTTATTTTTGTCTGCAGAATATGCTGCCGAAGTTTCCGGAATACAGTTCGGACCACCCTGTATAGTAGAGGGGGGAGGGGTTTCCGATGGGTTTAGGCGGAAAATGCGTTAGAAAGTACAAATATACTATTTGGAAAAAATCGAAATAAAAATGAAACTTCTACACCCTGTATCTCCGAAACTAAGCCTTTTTGAACATACATTTATACGAACTTTTTTACTTATTTTTGTCTGCAGAATATGCTGCCGAAGTTTCCGGAATACAGTTCGGACCACCCTGTATAGTAGAGGGGGGAGGGGTTTCCGATGGGTTTAGGCGGAAAATGCGTTAGAAAGTACAAATATACTGCACTTTTTTTCCAGTGATAAAAAATAGTTCTATTAGTGAGGGATGTTCCATTTAATTTCATGTACTGCGTACACACTAGGCAACACGCCACTACACGTGACGCCATCCCACGCTATCACACGTGTGATGGGCGATTCGTCTGTCCCAGATCTCATGTGTACACTCTTTCCCACATGAGCCCACGTGTTGCGACGTGAGATAGCGTGGCGTGTGGCCTAACGGGGTCCCGGCTTAATTTTCAGAACTAGAAACACAAAAATACGTTTTTTTTTAAACTTAAATCTTTTTCTATTTCGGAATAAAGATTTAAATCACAAATCATTTTCAAAAAGACTTAAATCTTAAGTCAGCTTTCATAAAATGACTTAAAATCGTATGACTTAAGTCATTAAAATGATTTAAATCGTCTATTACGCTGCACTTTCGTGTCGCTCTCAAGGGTCGGGTAAAGCGGGTGTGTGGCCGAAGGGAATATATATTATATTTCAAAAATCTGGCTAAGGCTTAGCCCGATCCTGTAGTGTTAAGCCACATCTAAAATTTCAAACGCACGTGCTTTGTTTAAGGCTTGATTAGGGTTTGCAGAGCTTCAGCATTTGCCATAAAATAGCGAGCAATTTGTTACAAAACGATATAAAGTATATATCAGTGTAATCACAAAACTTCAATCTATTTACGTATTGTAACGGAATTTTAAATTATGTCTTTATTTTCAAGAAAATTTAGTCCAAACACAGGGTTGCCAGACGTCCCGATTTAGGCGGGACTGTCCCGATTTTAATTGATGTGTCCCGATATGTCCCGCGGCCCGAGACTGTCCCGATTTGTCCCGCATCTCGTTCTCTGCCTTCAAATTCCCAAAATCTTCCTTCGCCACTATTATAGTAGGAGACAGGCGACAATGGCATCATGCGTAAACTCTGTTATCGCCTCGTGTCCGCCTCACCGTTTCAAGTATCGACGGTTTAAATACATGACATATCGATGCATCATTGCCATTCCTACTGATTCTTCTTTTTCTTTCACGGGATTTAGTCGCTTGTCGCTTACGTTTTGTCGCAAGGTCTTTTGTCTTTTAATTTTAAAAGACCTTGTTGTAGTGTACTTCTGTTCACTTGTGTCTAGCCCTAGCAGGCAACTGTTAAGCCCGACCAATCACGTTAGAGTTTTTGACAAACACGAATGAATTAACACACTCCAAATAACCACGCTAACCAACCTGATTGGTCAAGCTTAATAGTTGACTGCTAGGACTAGACACTTCTCTTCTGTTCTGTGGTGTACTTGTACTTTGGTGTTTGGTGTACTTCACAGAAGGTAGAAGGTGTACTTGCTCCTTGCTCCGTGTCCGTGGTCCGTGCAGTGAGTGCTTTACCCGAGATCAAACGCTTGCGTATTTATTTCAACAATTTAGGAAACAGGTACGATATATTATGAGTTAATTTGCTGCATATTACGTACATTTTAATATTATATATAATTATATAATTATAGGTTAATTCTTTTTTTTTTGCAACAAAATGGATTCAGATTCCTCAGTGTCCTCTGATGAGATTGACTGGCTAGGGGTAAATTGTGGTGTTTTTGAAGATGAAGATGATGTGGTCAATGTCGTCAATGACGGAAATTCCCGAGAATTTGACAACGGTGTTAACGATGTTAAAAAAATCAAGAACTTTTCCCGGGAAAATACAGCGGCGGCTGCGTGTTCCATTTTGCAAAAAAATAAAAGAAAAAGAGAGGTAGGTATATTAAACTATTTTCATATACAGAATAATCCACCAAAAGATACGAGGTTTGTTAAATTAGTGTGCTCAATAAAGTTACGTTTACAGAGTTGCCAAAATTTCATTTGTTTCCAATATACAGGGAAATATGTACAAAATGTGTAACATTTATTTTATTAAAAAAAATAACTCAAAAACTATTAATAATTATAGAATCATAAGTTGTGTGCACAAATTTTATATTTTTTTCTTTTTCTACAAAATATGCTACTTGGAAAATTCACCAAATGTATAGCTGTTCAGATATCGATACCAACTTATTTTATTTTTTTTAATACGGACTTTTTAAAATATATTTTACAGACGTCTGGTAACAAAAATGGCCATCATCGGGGGTTTTCTTGAGTACGGACCTAAGAATAATCGGTAATGGTGGTTATCGTCAGCATTTATTATAATTTCTTAGCAATCATGTTAACTTTATATTATCCCCTTTTTTGATAAAAAAAAACAACTACCTACCTATACTATCTTATTTTTAATAAAATATAAATAATGTTAATATGTTTATTATATTTTTCGTTTAGTGCTTGTGTATTTTCATTTTAAAACATTTTTTATACCACAATCCCTCAATAAATTATTATTTAAGATATTAAAATAAACATTTTTGGGCGTGGCACCCAAACATTTTCACCTCCGGCGGTCATTCAGTGCGTCCCGCTTTTTCTTCTTCTAAATCTGGCAACCCTGAGTCCAAACATAAGGAATATTTTGTTGATGTTTCATCATAAAAATAAAGAAGTTGTCTAAAGATGTGCTACAATACAATACGGATATTATAGTATAATTATACTTTATCTTTAATTTCCTTTTTCATTTTTGTAAAAATACCTGGCCAGTTTTACATAAAATTTTAAAAGCCGAACGCTTGTTTTGCTACTTTTTCGGACAAGTGAAATGGACTCTTAAGTTTTCTGTGAGCTTGCAGCTCTGGGCCAAGATATGTTAACTATACACTGGATAGTAGTAGTATACCGGGTGTTGCATCGTCGGACGAGACATAGGAAATCCCATGTAAATTTTAATGGGGTCAATTATTGGCTTCCCTAATTATTTTAGAGAATAATTCTATTTAGATTTATTGAAGAGCACTAAAACCCACATTTAAAAGAATAATTTTAGATATTTTTGATTAGCTCGCGTACGAGTTATCGACGATTTCTTTTTAAATGTTTCTCCTTTCTTATGGCCCTGTATTTACTTATGAGCACCAGTCAAGGTAAAAGATAACTGTCAAATGAAGTTGTCATTTCAGAAATTTACCTATTTAGTGCTTTATTATTATTGAAAACTCACATCGGAAATCTTAAAGATGTATTTACAAATACAAATTAATATGAATTAAAGTAAAATAAAGTAATCAATTAAGGTTAATTATAGTATTATTACAATATTCAATGTATATTGATTTTCCTTTAAAGAGGAAATTGCAAGTATCCAATCCCTCATTACCAAAATTGTATGCTTTGCCAAAAATTCATAAACCGGACAAGTCTATGCGCCCAATTGTTTCGGCTGTAGGTTCTCCGACTTATAATTTGGCAAAATGGTTCTCAGTTAAAAATAATATTGAATTCATTAACAAAATTAAAGATATAACATTGCATGAAGGTGAAATTTTGGTCTCCTTTGATGTATCTTCGTTGTTCCCAAGTGTTCCAATTCCACATACTTTAGGCTACTTAAAGGAATTACTGAACGCAAATGGTCTCGACAACAAAACTGTGAGTGAATATATTGAGCTTACATTTTTTATGTATGAAACAAAATTGTTTTCAATTTAATAACAACTTTTTTGAACAGCGGGAAGGTACAGCAATGGGTAATCCATTGTCTCCATTTTTGTCTACTTTATTCATGAGCAGGTTTGAAGTGGAGGCTAAGAATCAGTTTGAGTATTTTCCAAGAGTATGGTTTAGGTATGTGGATGATATTTTTGCTGTTTTTGACACACATTCAGACACCATAGATAATTTTATTTCTAAGTTAAATAATCGTTTTCCTTTCATTAAATTTACGCATGAAATTGAGAACAACGACAGATTACCATTTCTAGATGTATTAGTTATTAGAAATACTAATAATTGCCTGGAATTTGATATCTATAGGAAAAATACGACAACACGCAGATATATTCCTAATGAATCACATCATAGTGTTGAACATAAAATGGCTAGTTTAAATTTCTTCGTTCATAGATTACTTAGTTTCCCACTTTCCAACGAAAGATATGAAATAGAAAGAGATTACATTAGGAATGTAGCTGAGTGTAATGGATATTCTCCTTCACTAGTTGATAAATTAATTAGAAAACGAAGGTATAGGTTAATGATTTCTGAAAATTCGACTTTTCAAGTGGAGAAAGATACGTCTAAATATTTTTCGATACCGTTTGATAGAGAGTTATCCCGTGGTCTAAAAGGAATTTTTAAGAATGTCAATTATAAACTTGTGTATAGTGCTAATAATAAATTACAACAATTATTAGGTAATCCAAAAGATAAAACACCTCCACTGGAAAGGTCGGGTATTTATGAAATTTCTTGTAAAGATTGTAATCAGAAATATGTTGGGCAAACTAGAAGATCAATATTAACTGCCTTGCTTCACATCTGCAGTTATTTATTAGGGTACCTTTAGTCTGAAATCTCTGGATATACCTTGCGATTGTAGATTTTCCAGTTATCGGTCTATTCGGATACAGAGCAGCAAACATGTCCGACACCTTTTGATAACTATTTCCTTCATAATACCATTTAATCATCAATACTTTTTCTTCGGTAGTGTAATTCATGGCTAATATTTTCGATGTAGGTATGAGTTTTTAATAATAATAATAAAGCACTAAATAGGTAAATTTCTGAAATGACAACTTCATTTGACAGTTATCTTTTACCTTGACTGGTGCTCATAAGTAAATACGGGGCCATAAGAAAGGAGAAATATTTAAAAAGAAATCGTCGATAACTCGTACACGAGCTAATCAAAAATATCTAAAGTTATTCTTTTGAATGTGGGTTTTAGTGCTCCCTTCAATAAATCTAAATAGAATTATTCTCTAAAATAATTAGGGAAGTCAATAATTGACCCCATTAAAATTTACATGGGATTTCCCGAGGGGTGTCTCACTCGGGTAAAAAATGTACACGTACTGCCAAAATATCCTTCCACTGCTAAGCGACTGCCAATGACTGTGAAGAAGACTGCCAATGACTGCCATGTAATTATTATAGGTGACTGCCATAAGACTGCCAATGACTGCCAGCGACTGCCAAGAAAATGTACAGGTAATTCCAATAGTGAGACACCCCTCGGGATTTCCTATGTCCCGCTCGACGATGCAACACCCGGTATGTAATAGGAAAATATCACGTCAAAAATCTTACCGCATAAGATATCTAGAGTGCATCTGGATAGTACTCTTAATATATTGAGTTCTTTTCCCACATTCTCATCTAATATTTCGTTCAAAATCAAACTCTTTTCTGCAAACACTTCGACAAAAGATTCCAGAATTTTTTGATTGAACGTTGGTACAATAATTTTCCGATGTTTCTTCCATTTGGGTACTAGAAATAATATATTAATTAATCAAATAGTAGAATAACAATACAATGGGACCAAGAAAACTCCATATTAACGTTGATTGAAAAAATTGGAAAGATTCTCAACCTAATGAGCGAATTCGTGATAATGCCTGATATGATTTGAAGTGCTATACGGTGGAGCCACCACTCGTTGTGTGGCTAACGCATAAAACACTCATTTTCTCTAATTTCGCCGGTAAAGGCATATCGAAGACGGTATGGAACTGAAAACTACACTGTTGTTAGATTAAAATGTGTAATATCTGAATCTGCGTTTATGTATTGAACATTTATTCGTGTTAAACATAGAATAAACAACAAAAATAAATATTCTAAATATAGCAAAATATTTCTATCTTTCATTATTTTTTTATCGTATGTAAAAAAACAGATGAAACAAAAAGCAATGTAATATCTTGATTAAAATTAGATTTAATCATATTTCTTTATTATTATAATTACATCGCCCGCTATGGACTATGGACCCGTCATGCGATGAAAACTCTTAGATTTTGATTTATAAATATTCATTTAAAGGTCCCGATTATGTAGTTTTATATTATGTATATGTAATATGTTTAATTAATTGTACAATAATAATAGAAAATCCTTATTATTGAAACAGTATCTGTACGTCTGAAGACTATACCTGAGACCTGTAAATATACCAGAGTAATCCTAATAGTAAATGCCTACGATATTATTTATTAATAATTTTACAGCAAAATATGGAAGTACTCTAAAAAGGATGACTGCAGAAGGTGATGCTGGGAACTGATGCTGTTCTTAAAAATGCATTATCCGAGTATTTAATACGATTTATACAGTTAATTTTCTATATTGCATACATATAAGGTGTTTAAATAAATAAACTAAATAATGAATGTTTTGCATACGGCAACCAATAATACACACACTATCATGACAAGGACTATAATGACGTCACAAAGCGAAGGGTTTTCGCATGCACCTGGCAGACACTTGCGGCTGAATGAGCAGTCCTATTAGGTTAACTGTTTTTGCGTTGTTCCGGCAATTAAAAAAGGATCTAAATTAGTGATAAGTTACCTTTGTACCAAAATATTAAGAAATCGGGATATTATGTCCCAAAATATAAATAAGATAATAATAATTAGAGCATTTTTCTAAAAACAGTTTCTCTTTCACGTCAAATCAACCAGTCAAATCAATACTTCCAAGTGACCCCTCTAATTTGATTGGCCTAATGCACAGAATATCTAGCTACGCAACAGAAAAATACTCGAAATGAAAGAGCTAAAATTGCACAAATAGAATACTAGATGGCGTGACAATATCATAATCAGAATATAATTAGAAATTTTGAACTTTCGGTTTTGGATCGACGGCTCGTCGACGGCCTTATAGCTCGACTAAATATGCACAGTTGCCAGATTCAAAAAGACTTGAATTGGCATCCCATTCTTTTTATTGTGTATAATGCCAGTATGTGTTTCTTTCTATTCTTCTTTTCTTGTCAGATACACTTATATTAATTATTCCTTTGGCTATTAAAATAGTTTTAAGTATATTATTACAAAACATATACATTTTTAATATACACTATTGTGACGACTTT